CCTGGCCTGGCCTGGCCTGGCCTGAACCCAGGGAGAAGCAGGAAGGTCCAGGTTTCCCCACCACCCCACCATGGTCTCCTTCAGACTGTACCCCTACCAGCTGCATATCCCCCTCCCCTGCCAAAAAAGTCATTTTGGTGCAAGGCAGGCAATGGCTCAGCTCTAGCTTCAGCCCCAAGCCCAGGGCCAAAGCTGGAGCTGAGCTGTGCCTGCCCCAGGCTGGTGCTCAAATCCAAGACAACGCTTTTTTCCTCCATGCTGATTGGGGGGTGGGGAGGGGGACTCATCTTGGATTTGAGTAGGTCATAGAATCATAGAAAATGAGGGTTGAAAGGGACCTCAGGATGTCATCTAGTCCAACCCTCTGCTCAAGGCAGGATCATCCCCAACTATATCAACCCAGCCAGGGCTTTGTCTAGCCAGGTCTTAAAAACCTCCAAGGATGGAAATCAAAACCCCTCTGGGTAACCTCTTCCAGTGTTTTACTACCTTCCTAGTGAGTAAGTTTTTCCTAATATCTAATCTAAACTTTCCTTGCTGCAACCTGAATACGGTATACCTGTATAGAAGTAGATATTGCTAAGTAAAGCACACAAATTGGAGATATTTATTATACATAACTTTAAATATGCACCTCTAAAATGGGATTTCGCACTCAACCCCTAGCACAAGAATTATATTTACTCATGTTAATCCAAAGTCAGACAGAAGGCAGGTATATTTTGTGACTTATGGGCTAATTATATTTTACTTTTATATTACAGACAGGAATTATAGGACAGACTACTTTGTATTAGCTTTCAACAGCATGTAAGCAGATAAGTAGTTTGTATTTAGTTCTTACCTTGTATTTTATTCCACTCATGTGCTTCTCCTAAGCAATTTGCATCATACTGGTATTGTTCATTTTTATAAAAGTAATCATCAGTACTGAGAATAATTCCACCTGGGTTATCCTCTAGCAAATTCCTATGAAAGATGACATTAAAGCAGCATTTTTTTTTCTTCTTCAATGTTTGCCTCTACCCATTAAATACATATGCAGAGTCCTGCACACATATATATGGTTTGGTGTGGCCCCAGGAAGCTCTGAAGGAAGCTTCAACCTCAGGGAAATACAGCGTCAATGACACAACTGTCACTCTCTACTCAGGCTATAGCCATCCATGGAAAGTAGCTGGAAGAAAATAACCTTGCAATGTGACTCCTACAAATTCTAGTGCCAAATAGTCAAGAGGGAAAGAGAGCCCAAGGAAAAAATAGTATCTGTATCTAGTGAGGTACTTCTGCATCAGTCCCACACAAAGTTATATTTGCTTACCTGGCATTATTAAATATCTACATAAGTCTGAAATGGACTATAACATAACATATGCACAAAAGACCTACCTCTCAAAAGCCTTTGAACAGAATGAAAACTAAGAGCTGGATTCTTCAATCCAGCAAGTTAAATTTGCCCCTATTTAAATGGTGCAAATGAGCTGGAATTTAAATAGTCCAGAAATTTCCCCCCTGTGAAAGTGGGATTTTGATCTATCCAAAACTGCCAGATCTGGCAATGTTCAACTCTACCTGCAGTTGTGTCACAAGGAAGTGTAAGGCATGTCCCAGATGGACAGGAAGAGCGGAGTGAACTGAATTCTAGCATAGCTGATCCTCTGCTGGCATAAACTCCAATACGAACTTTGAGCCACTGGTAAAGCTCAGAGCAGGCCCCCTCCCATATCCAGCAGAGATATCCAGCAAAGAAAGACCACTAAGAATTAGTGGCTCAGCTTCCTGCAGCTACAATTACCCACGTTCAGTTTAGACAAAATAGAGAATCAGGGCATAAGCACAACTTTCTACAAATACCAGTAAACTCTTCTTGGTTTTTCTCCCTTATTAAATCCTATAATCTGACTGTTAAGCATTTTTTTTTTATAAGCACACAATATAAAATGTTCTACCTTGCCAAAAAAGATTTTCCTGATCCTGGAACCCCTCTGAGAAGAACAAGTACTTGACCTACAAGATGTGTTTTTTTTCTCATCATGTGACAAACAGATGGCTGGTATACTTGAGAGAGGTTCATTTTTTGGTTTCCATCTTGATGTCCCCATATCTTCAGAGACACATTGCTATCTTGGACATTTGAAACAACTGAAGAGGAAAAAGGCACTCCTTTTCCAAAAGTCCTAGAATCAGAAGCAGGTCTCCACTGTCCAGGACTGATAGCAACTGGAGTTACGAAGCTGTGACTTCCACTTGACGCATATAACTCAGAAGCTATTGGATTCCAAGGAGGCTGATGAAGTTGCTGTGGTGATGTAGAAAAATTAAAGTTACAACTATGATCGAACTGCTGAAAATCTGAGATATTTAATGGTTTGAAACTGGATCCTTCAAAAGATGTAAATGCAGCAGGGATAAAAATGTTTCTATGGCCACTGCATACAGCCATATCCTCTTCCTGTTGTTCACAGCATTTTGAACTTGAATTTCCAAAAACAGCTGTTCCAGATTCTAGAAGTTCATGGGAGGACTGACCAGAAGTACAGTTCAAACTTTCATCATTGGAAACAACATGTGGCATTTGATCAGGATTTTTATGACCCATTTCCCAGTTTGTTAGTTCAATGATTTCTGGAGCTACACCATTGTCAGCTTGTATATCTGGCAGCCTACAGTCTTTTAATACCTGTGTAAAATTGTCCACATCAGCTGATGATCTCTCTTTCATTCGAAGGCTCGACTGACTTACTGCTGGCTGAGAAGATTTGTGACACTTTGCACTGCATGTAAAGGAGAAGTTTTCTAACTTCGCATTGTTTATCTCAGATTGAAAAAGCATGGCATTACAGCCTAATGTGGATTTTTTCCATTCAGGAGATTCAGTAATGGCACTAGAACTACTGGATTCAGTAGCTTGCAATTTGTCCTCCAGTCTGTATTTCTCAAAAGCATTTTGTATCAAGGAATCCAGCTCTTCAGTCAACTGAGTATCAGGCGATAGGACCTTTTCCGTTCCTTTTTTAAAATTTACAGGATCTTTTTTTGCAGAACTTTCTTTCATTGCTTCATTTGCAAGAGACCTTTGCTGCTGAACAAGAGCTAGAGATGAGGCTACTGAATCAAACCCTGAGACTTCTGAAGATGCTACACCATTAGCAGCTGTAGACAGTTCTAGCAGCCAATCCATTGCATTTTCAACTGTTAAAGTAAAAAAAAAATAAGGTGATCAAGAGAAACAACAGATGCTAATTTTGATTTAGTTTAAGTAAAGTTTTACAATCTATATTACAAGAAATATTAATTTGTTATAACAGCATAGAATAAAATGAATAGAAAGCAGAATTTGCTATACTTTCTGCTAAATCTCAATAAAACCTATTGCTCACTAGAATTCAAGACTCAACTGAATTTGCACACTTTGCAAAATAACAACACAATATAACTGAAAGGTAGTTAAACTGAGAAGCTAAATTTAACCTTGGAGAGGAAGGAAAATATTACATTGGATAATTAAACAGACACTTGAATTTAATCTACTTTTCACAGGAAAAATAGAATGAAATGGACTGAAATAATCACTAAGAGAGGATTATAGAGATGCACAGAAAAAAAACATAAACATAGAAACTGTTTTGTTGCATCCAAGAGCATTTAAAAATGACATAGCTTAGGGCTGTCCAACTTCTCAGTGACTAAGGGCCATATTCCACATATTCCATACCAATCGGGGCTGCACATCTTGGAGGCCACACTAGTGAGAGCCACAGGCCCCTGGGTTGCATACCCCTACCCCACACCATGCAAATGGTCAGCCTCTGCCACATACACTACTGCATGACACTGCAATCATGCCCTGCCCTCTTACGCAGAAGCAGGAAGCTAAAGCCGATGGAGGAATGGAAGCCTAGAGACCCCAGCTGCAGAAGCAGCTAGAGGTACAGGGAACAGCAAACCAGGTAGGAACCCAGATGCTGCACATTAATCTGTCACAGACTGTGCATGGGCCCCAAGCCACCAGTTGGACAGCCCCAGTATGAAAATCCAGTTAACTGCACCGTTTTTATAAAGCTAAAAACTAAGTTTATAGTGTTAGCAGTTGTTATGAACTTGAAAAGCAACAAAACTGCAAATCAAACTTTAAAGCAATGATTCTCAACCAGGGTGCCATGAGATCCTTTGTTTCAGGATGCCACACAACATTAGCACTCTTAGGTGTGCAAATGATTCACAAGATAAACCCAGAGAAGTCAAACAAAAATCCAGTGTCAAAAACCATTCTGACCTGTTATGAACTTTCTGTGTTCTTTGCAACGGAAGAATTACTGTATTATTTTTCTGCTTTAAGGACTTGGGAGAAGACGAGCTTAACATGACTAACATAAGCTGGAACTTAACTGTTTATTCCAAAGGGATATGTTGTTGTTGTTCTCCACATAGAAAAACCTATTTTAAATTCAGATCCTTTGGCAGGGCTGGGTATATCTCTTTAATCAAGAGAAACTACAGGTTTCCCTTGCTTTATGCAGGTTCTATATGTGCAAATTCGCTTCTATGCAATGACCCATTTTATACCAAAAATTTATTATATGCGAGGTAATTTCACGCCTATGTGATCTGTGTGGTGGAAACCCACAGTCAACTGCTTTGTGCGGTGCATTGTGGGAGTGACAAGCACCAAAATATAGTCTCCTGTGTGGATCTGTGCTCCTTGCTCGTTGTCTAAGACGTGTTTCTGTAGTTGCCATCCCCATTATGATAGTGCCCTGTGCTTGCGTGTACCGTC